ATGACAAGGGAGGGTGAGAGGGTTATCAATGAAAAGGTGGAGATGGAGAAACGCAGGGAGAAGCAAAATATGGAGCTGGTGCTGGCGAAGCACCGTCAGGACAGGCAGCAAATGCAGGATATGTTTGAAAACATGATGGCAGCGATGCAGAATCAGCAACAGCAGCAGCAGCAGTGGGCGATAGAACGGCAAAGAATGGAGCAGCAGAAGAGAGATGATGCAGCGAGGAGGGAGAGGGAGCTGGACAGAGCTCGGTGGGAAGCAGAAAAAGCTGAATTAAAGGAAAAGCATGAAAGAGAGCTGAAAGCCCGGGACCAAACTTTGGAGATGAGTTATAGAATGCTAGAAAGATCTGAAGCTGAAAAAATAGAGCCACGTGAAATTTTTACGAATCCATTCGGAATCGTGCGCAACTTAATGTTTCGCTAGTTAGAACCCACAAGTGTAAATTTCAGGGCCGATATGGAGGGCAATAGAGCACATGCATTTGTCTTCATCCTTACCATTATTTAGTTAATGTTCACTTGTTTTGTCTGAATTCTATTTTTGTTTGTCACCCATTCATGTTACTTTTGTTGTTAATGCAATTTATTCAAATGTAGTGAAAAAATAAATCATAAGCAACATTAGACTGTGTGACGGCCCCACCTTGTCTGTCGGTTGGGCACATTGGCTGTCTGTGTTTGGCTGTTTGGCTGTTTCCTCAGGTCCCTAGACTGCTGGAGACTGAGTGGTCGGTCCTACCTGCTTGGCACGCTCAGGCCCAGGCTATAAAAGGGCCAACCCCTCAGCTCCTGCGCTCTCTCTCTTCCATGCTCGTGATTTGGTTTGGTGTCATTTTGGTTTGGTTTGCGCATCAGACAACACTTCGCACCACATCACATCCCAGCACCCAGACATCCGCACCCACACTACTGCCATCACTGACATACACACCTCACTTTGACAGCATTGTTTTTACTAATATGAATAAAAACTTATGTTAAATCTGGCAATACTTGTGTCGTCTCCCCTCTTTTGCCACTACCTATTTGCTGGGTTGTGACACTGTAACACTTAAGAAATGACTAAAACAGATTTGTGTGTTTGTGTTTGTAATCGTGAAGCCATACAGATACACACAACATGCACAATGAGATGCAACATTACCACCAAGAGACACAAAACAACCAGAAAGAGATGCTGAACAACCAAAATTACCACAAGACACATAAAAACACTACAAAGTGAGCACAAAGATTGAAAAGACACAAATCAACAGGTTGATTGGGGACCCGGAATCAGAGCAGAAAAAGTCTCCTGCAATAAATTAATGTGAAATCAGAAAAAAAGTCCTCTTAAAAAATAAGTCTCCTGGAAAAAAATCAATGCGGCTTTAGGGGAAAAAAATCCCTTGAACCAATAAATGTGGCATTAAGAATAATAAGTCTGCAAAAATAAATTATTGTGGCATTAGAAAAAAAGTCCATCTAAAAAAATAAATATTACATGAAAAAAGAACTTAACATAAATAAATGTGATTTTAGGGAAATACTCTCGTGTGTACCATGTGGGACGTTTTGCTGAGGGTGAAATTACAAAAAATCTACAATTCTCAACAATATTTAACAGATCTTAGTTTGGAGTCTCAATAAACAAAACAGTACACTTTGAACTAAACACAATTTCTGAATGCAGTCTGACTGAGTCACCTTTCTCCTCCCCTCCTCTCCACCTCCACCTGAGAGGAGGTGAGGTGAAAGGTGGCCGCTCTGGGACGGGAAGCTCCGCCTGCAGCGAGGAGCGCCACAATACTTTCACTTTGTTCTCACTGAGGATTTAACCGGTCACTTAAACCTGACAATGGCCAGCAAATATCCCATCAAAGGTGAGTTCTGTCTCTGCTGCGTTCAGTCTGTGTGTCATTTTAACTCTGAATACTGTTTCTCCATGTGTTTGATTGTGCTTGCAGCCTCTCCGTCAGTCAGACATTGTGCTTTATGCAACGGTTCGCTGTTTATGGTGTCTTCTGAAGTCTGTAGAAGTGTTTGTTTATTGCACATTGTTTTCCTGTCGTGTGTCAAACTGATAAATCTGTCAAGGTTTGCTCGGGGAGGATGCAAGCGCAGACACTCATGAGGACGAGAAGACCAGAATCTTGATACGAGCTGTTTATTTACAACATGTGAAATAACGAGATGAAATACAGCAAACACAGATCCCAACAGGTAAACTGAACAAACCAGGGCAGTGAGCTAAGGAAGGCGACAGAACAACCAAACTACACTAACAGTCAAGTTAACGAGGGGGAACTGAACACAGAAAACCAAAAACACAAAACTGACAGGAGAGCTACAAGGAATAACACTAAGGGGATTACAAGAACTGACTGAGAGTGGATAAACAAAACCGGCAAAACAAGCGGCAAATTTAACTGGTAGACTGGGAAAGGAAGGGACAGGCAGGTAAACCAGAAGGTGAGTTCAGACTCCAGAGGGTTTGGGCACCATGTCAGTGAACGGTCCAAGGTGCAGAGTAGAGGGCGAGGCAGGAAACAGGTCAGGGGAAAAAGTTGATGATCTGGCCGAGAGTAAAGTCTGAGCCAGAGTTTTATTATTTGAGCGGTAATCAGTGAAGCAGCTTCTGTTCAGGTGTTGGTGATTCGACGACAGCTCACAGAGACAAGGAGAGACGGAAACGAGGAGCAGAGACGGATGCTGGGGCAGGGACCCTGATAAAATCAATGAGCTAAATAGTTGGAAACTTATTAGTTGACAAAAAATCACTTAATTGCTGCAGCCCAAGTCCGTTTGGATAATTTCAGAAGAACGACTCACACAAACTCAAAAAACCCCACAAATACATCTGTTTAGAATATATGAAAGGACAACATTCGGAAGCTACCTACGAATCTTTGTATTTTTAGATTTTCTTCTGCCACGAAAACATTACTCAAAACGTTCAATCCATCAGTAAACAGTTGACAAGTGATCAGTTATTTGACTGATCCTTGGGGCTGGATGGTGCCTCGGTGGTTAGCAGTGTTGCCTCACAGCTCAGCCTGGTACAGCATTTACAAATTGTAATCTGTCTTCTTTATGTTTCTTCTGGAGTAATGTCTCCTTCGTCTCTGAGTATCCTTCCAGCCCATGTCGGTACAGGACTGGTTTCACTGTGGATAATGACTCTCTGACCAGCTTCAGCAGCATCTTCACGAGGTCTTTAGCTTTTGTTCTGGGGTTGATTCGCACATTTCAACCAGAACACTTCATCTCTGGGACACAGAACCGTCTCCTTCCTGAGCACTATGATGGCTGGACATTCCCATGGTGTTTGTACTTGCCTATAATTGTTTGAACAGATGAACGTGGAACCTTCAGGCATCTGGAAATTGAACCCAAGGACGAACCGGACTTGTGAAGGTCCACAATTCGCTTCCTGATCTTGACTGGTTTCTTTATATTTTCTCATGTTGTCACAAAAGGAAGCAGTGTGTTTGAGGTGTGACTCCAATTAACTCAAATGTTGTCAATTAACCTATCAGAAGCTTCCAAAGCTATGACATCATGATCTGGGCTGTCTCAAATAGTTTGGAGGCACAGTAATCTTAGTGTATGTAAACTTCTGACTTTGAAGAAAGTAGTAAAAAAACAAAAATCTCTAAAAAAAAAATTCTCTCTCTCATTATTCTGGCATTTAGCAAACACAAATGTAGTAACTAAATGCAGTTTAGTCACATTTAATGCCAGACAGTGAGGGGGGAAAAAAGACTTTATGTCTTTTTATACAGTGTACGTAAACTT